TGCGGCTTAAACCGAAGTAAGGTGCAAGGTACGATTCGCTCTTGCAGTCCAGATGATGAGCTCCAATGGTCCGCGATTGGATTTGGGTGCGTTCACTATCAATTTTGCTCGATCATTGCCGGGGCCGGCTCTAAGGGTGATCGGTAGACCACTGTTGTATTGTAGATGCTCTGTAACTTCTCGCCCATTCGAACTTCTAAAAACTTGTATACCTGTGCTTGTGTTATTTCGTTCGGTTCGCCAAAAACAGTCCAGATGACGGCTTCATCACAGTTCGGAGTGGGGACGCTTCCCTCGTAACGGTAGAAGGCGTCAGTGTCTGGTGGAAGAAGAGGACGAGGACGAAATTCCGATAAAGTGGTTTGATTTCCTGGAAGTAACTGTAACTAGAACAATTCAAGTTGTGAGTAGAGCAAGTCACGAGAAGGAAATAAGGAAGAGCACGAGAGCAGCTGATCAAACGGCGCTAGGATACATGAGTTCCACTGCCGACTACTGCAATCCTAACCTATTGTAGAAAAATACTGGAAACGAGCAAAGCGCGTTGTACAAAGCCCGGAACACAAAGGGGTTAAGGGAACAGTAGTGAGGCACAGCTAGTTGAGCCATCATACACCTACATACTACTACTCTAGTCTTTTTCTCTTCACATGCTTAAAAGCAGCTGGCACGATAATTTGGTACTCGGCCTAAAATGCTAGCAGGGCGCTATATAGTGGGAAAATGGCGAAAGAACGGAGTGAAACGGTCAAAATCCTGCGAAGAAAAAGCCTCGTTCTCAACGATTTCAATTTCAATCAACTTCAATTCAATCAATTTCGGACGAGTTTTCCGTAGGCATCTTGCCAATAACCGCTACCGAAGATACGGCTGCATGTGTGTACTCATATATCCATGCAGCACCGCCGCCGCTTCATACCAATCCCTTCGCTTCATAATTTGCTTAGCAAATGAATCAATACGAGCGTCAGGAACGGTCGTCCATTTGTGGGCGGGCGGGCGTGGCGGGCGTTTGGGTCGGTAGCTTGATAGGGCCCTTATAAGGGTACCTTCCTTGGAAGGGCGCTGCGCAGCGCCTGCTCAGAGGCGCGGAATTCCGTCCTGCCAAGCATATTGATCCTACTCTTCTTTGGGGATTTATCGTGCTAACTGCTTTCAATCTCCCATCAATATTTTGACTTTTTCAATTCACTGGAACGTTCAGTTTATGACAGCGCGATCAGGCCTGGCGTCTCAGAACGGATTGAATGAGCTGGCCTTTTCACTACTGGTTGTTTCCCTCCTAGTTTGATCGCTAACCGGCCACCATTGGCAGAACAAAGCAGCCAAAGGCGGAGCCATTCCAGCACGTTTGAATGCGATTCTATAGACCAGAAAAATTATAACTATTTTTGCAATATTGCACATTTTTCGGCTGACACAATCGAGATCTGACTGAAGCCTGAAGCAGTAGTGACGAAAACTTATCAGTAAAGGCCAAGTAACTCAATACAGCATCCAGACAAAAAAATCTCAGGATAAGCCTTCGGAAATTTTTTGAAGGTGGCCAGTACGCAACGAAATTTACTCACCAGCCAGAACGATTTTATCCAATGCAGGCGATATAGACGACAGGGCGTTGCCGTTAAGTCCAAGGGCGAAGAAAATTGCCAAAATAGCAGTGCCATCTGGTTCGTTAACAGCCTCTCGCAGTGTCAAACCGTCACGTACATGGACCAAATGCACCTGAAATTCAGCCGAAGTAGTGCACGGACATACCAAGAAATTCAAACCATGGTCTCAATGCCACGACGGAATGAATGCTCCTTTGCCTTTTTTTATGGGGGGTCCTTTTATTTTGCTCCCTGAACACAATAAAAGTTAAGCGTGTGAGTGCTGATAGGCTACGGCATAAAAGCCGTTGAGCTGAGAGAGTACAAGCGGCCCGTCGTTGCCGTAATGTTTTTGCATTTCGCCCCAATCTCAGTTGCTCTCGACTCTCCGCCCCTTAGGGCGGGACCTTTGCTCCTGACTCAGCATTCTTGTGATATTCCCTTCCCCACGCAATCTCTCTCGCTCACTCGCATCTATAGCCCTCTTACGAAGCTTCCACGCTCGCGGTCGCCTGTCGCGCACTGGAGCGCAACATCTCAACGCTAGGTTTGCGGCTTCTTTTTGAAGATTTTAAATATTTTGTTGGTCCCACCCGCCAGGGTTTTTGCTGGATCAGTGTCCGCTCAGCGAGATCGGGTCCTTCGCACATCAAAACTAACTATGAAAATTTCTTGAGCACAAAAGATTTCAACACTTTGAGGGCTGTGACTTTGCGTTCAAGAACCAGGGCAAAGCAAGATTCAGTGCTGGAAAAGAAGAATTTACGTATTCTAACCTCCATAGAATCTTCCGTAGTCCATTATTACTTTTACTTTTAAAAAAATTCCCCCGTTGAGTGTCTTCCCACAGCAGCGCGGAAACCACCGTATACGTGGAGGTTGTCGCCCTCTAAGGGAACAGAATTTCTTTCACACATAACTTTTCGAGAAGAGGTGAAAATCTCTGGAAAGTTTAAGATTCGCGTTACATGTTTAGTAACTTACTACTACAGTTTCACTTTCACTTGGAAAATAGTAGTATAACACGCTTCCTCACCACATAAATTCGGTCACCCGCGCAACTACTTCATTAGCTCCGCTTTTGACCCATTTATCACACCTTTGCATACTACAGGTATACTAGAAATGATCGGGTAGGCGTGGCCGCATGTTTCAACTTATCCTGGTGTCTATGCTTCTGGTGAGATATTTTCATCTTGACACAATTGTTGTCGTGTCTCTGTCCAACACAGAACAAGATGACAGTTGTCCCAGACTGGAATATTCCACGAGTAACCAGTTCCGTGCCATGTTCAAATGCCACGCCTACTCTGACTCAGGGATAGGGAGTGTACCTCCAGGCGACACACTCTCCCCTCCCCCCCCCCGTTCAGCGAGCCAAGACGACTGTTGTTTCCAATCAGTAGAGATAGTAGTTGAATGAGAATTTTCTCTCGCGGCTCGAAACGGCTTCTTTGATGGCATGCTCCCAACGGTATTAAACCCTGCCCAGACGACGCGGTTTTTTTCTCTCTCCGCGTGTAACTGGCGTCGCGCACGAACATGATGACCGTTTTTTGTCTTCTTGGCGGATTCACTTCTGGCGTCAGATTGGTACCAGCCCTGGTGCTGACAAAGTGGGGCACACGACAAAACTAGGTGACGTCCTCTGTATTAACCTGTGTGGCGCTGTGTTATGGCAGAGTGTGGAAGGGAGTCACTCATACCTTCCTTTTCCACCCCTTGGCAAGAAAGTGTCCAATTGGCGTTGGGGCTCAACAGTGAATTTCAGGTTCGTAGTCAAGATCCAAAATGCGAGTTCACAGCGAGTATGGTGAAAACCCTTTGGCACTGAGTTCGCTTCAAATGGCGCCAGATAGTGCCAATGTTAAGAATGAATGTCATATTCGTGATCACGGTGTCGATCAGCTCTTACAAACGATGTTTATTTACGATACTTATTTACTCTTCCTTGGTACTTCGATGGC